CTCATAATTCCTCTTCTGACTCATAATTCCTCGAACTATTTAAAATGAAGCCATGACAATCTGTTATCCATCTATTCCCAAAGAGAGGTTGTCTTGAAACTTCCTCATATCTTGAGGGGAAGGGTTTATCAGGTAGGGGGAGTGTTCTCCATATTTTCAAAAGTGACACCCATAGATTGTCCTGACTAAGATCTCTTCTCACTTCTTCTTAACCCCCTTTTCCTTACAAATATTTCGTGCTCTTGGAATGACAAAAAAATTGTCTTCTATCCAAGTAAGTGGGTGGGTGTCTTCTGTGGTAGATGGTGCCAATCTGCAAATTTGCTCCAATGCTCGGGCTTGTCATGGAATATCCACAAAGAAAATGATTTTTTTAATCCATTGCATGAACAGGGTCCTATTATGAGTTGTGGGGTCTAACATCCCCAATCCTTATCTTGTTTTTGGTTGGATTAGAGAAAGTCATGCCCCCCGCGAAATCACCCTGCTCTGTTCATGGTTTTCTCTCCAGAGGAAGGTCACTACTTGATTTTGAAAAACTCTGGTATGTGATTTACACATAGGTCAGATACAAGATTTGTACCGGTAGAGGCCAGCACCACATTGTTAATGATCAAGGCTCTTCCAAAAAGGGATTCATTTTTCTTATTGTCGGAGTAGCAATCTATTCATCATTTGTGATTGGTTTTCCATGAGCAGTTAGTGAGACACTCAATAATCTTATAGGTGCATCCAAAGGTAGCCAACTTACCCTAGGACTTTCTGGAGGACGCACCCCATTTGAATGAAACCACCATCCTTGAGTCTTACTTCCCCAATTAATAACCATATCTGATACTAATGAAAACCTGTCCATGAGAAACTTGATTTCCTCCATATTAGAAGAGGAGGCCTCCATCATAATGGTCAAATCATCTGCAAACATGAAACATATTAGGATTGCTTCATCTGGTATACCGCAGATCCGAAGCTTCTGAATCTTCTGGTTAGTCCTTAGGTTAGCCCCTAAGGCCTCCATTATGATGACAAGAAGAAAATAACTTAGAGGATATATTGTCTTACTGACTTCTGAACCTAAATTTTTGGTGAGAGGAGGCTATTAATCTGAACTCTTGTGGTAGCATTTGCATGTAGAATCCTTACCCAATTTCTTAGGACTGGTCAAAAATTCATCTTACTTCGACAAGCATCAAGGAAGCGTCAGTCGATATGGTCATACACCTTTTCAAAATTTAAAAATACAAAGGCCGTTGTCGGGACAGAAACCCCTGTGAGGGTTTCTGCCCGAGTTTTTCAAGATCAGACGTTGTCCGACCTTTTTGTTGAATTGAGAGATTTGTGTTGGACACTGTCCGACCTTTTTGTTGGATTGGGAGACTTGATGAGGTTGAAGTTGCCAAAGTTTATTCAGATCAACCCTATGACTGAGAGACTTAAACTTTTTTAGAACCTGACGTCGTTGACGTCCGATCGAAACAACGGGAGTCGGTTGTACGACCTGTCGTCCGCGGTTCCCGACAGGGGCCGCAGGGCTACGCGGTCTTGGAAAATTTAAAGCTAGACTATTATACTTGAAAGACCGACGCGTGGCTGTACAACCGCGCAATTTAGGGCCTTAGTAGGCCAAACAGGTGGTGGTGCCATGCACGTAGCCACGACATGCGTGCCGTGCTGCGAGACGGTCGTCGTATTGGCGGCAACGCGGCTGGCCAAGTGGCCGGGGCTGCTGGGGTACGTAGGCATAGCCTGCGTGAGGCCAGAGACGATATCGCACTGGGCCAAGCAATTCATAAGGAAGAGTTGCCCCTATTTTAATGTGAATAGGAGCTAACCCAATAGGATATCGTACTAGATTCTTGCCCAACAGCTACGGGGATCGAGCCTTGATGACATTGCCATTGGGCTAGCTCCATTTGGAGCAGCCCGACCTTTTGGCGCGGCTGTTTTCAGTCGTGCGATCGATGAGACCACACGGTTGAAAACAGCCGCGCGGAGATTAGGCATGGTCCCTGCGCAAGGATGACACGCATAAATCATAATAAATATAAATTAAAATATATATATATATATATATATAATAAAAATAAAAAATAATATTTTTTTTTGAGTCCATATGGACTTGAACTCCGGTCTGTGTGTTGAAGTCTGGATGAAAAGCCACGATGTTGATGTGACCGTTGGCTTTAAGCCAACGGGGGAAAAAAAAAAAACCTAAACTAAAATTAAGAATGAAGCGTCATGTGGCGCAAAGTGAAGTGCTTCGGGCACTTCAACCCAAGTGAGCGTGACAGTGCCCAAGAAAAACAGGCGACTGTTCAACAACGAGGTAAGTTCGTTTCGTTTTTTTTCTTTTCTTTTTGTTTTTTTAGATTTCAATTTAGATTTTTGTCTTCTTCTTTTTAGATTTCTAATAGATTTTTTCCTTTTTCTTTTCTTTCCTTTTCTTTTTTCTTTTAGGAGTACCGAACACCCATTCGTTTCGGACGAATGGGTCATAGCACTAAAAAATAAAAAACGAAAGCATGACTGTGCCAAACTGTTTTGTCGGGCTTCCAGTGACTCATCAGGAGGCTGAGCCTCGACAACCCATCTTAGGATGGACAAAATCGAATGAATCTGCCGCATTAGTGCGGCTACGTTCGGGCGTGGGGTTTTGGGGCCTTGTACTGGAGTTACGAGGGGCTCTCTGCATACGTTTGAGTGACCCCGTTTTGCAAGGGAAATAAGCCCCAAATGAGCTTGACTCTAGTTAACTCTGTGAAATGATTGAGGGTGGCTGCTCGTTTTGAAAACGAGCTGCCTTTACACAGAAAAACGAGGGGGTAGGTAGAAAAAAAAAATAATAATAATAATAAGTGACGGCCACGTACGTGGCCGCGGTTTCAGGGTAGATGCAAGGAGAAGAAAAGAAAAGAAGAAAAAATGGGAGAAAAAAAGTTGGAAAAAAAAAAACGGTCACGAATTCGTTCGCGACCTCAGCCCAGATGCAGAGCAAAGAAGCATCTGGACCTTGAAGTGACAACAGACTATTGATTTCAACAGTCTGCTGAAATTGGCTTTATACAGCCACTTCGAGGTTGCACCTGGCCGGGGGTGGCAGCCGGATGCATTGCCAAAGCCTGAAACTTGATGTTCCTAGTGGAACATCGAGATTTCCAGCCCTCGATCGAAGTTCAGATCGAGGGTCAGGCTCAGCCCCTTTTTTAACTGAGCCCCAAGTGGCTGACCACCACTCCAGCCCAGCTATAAAAGCAGGGCTGACAAGCAGCATCCTCACTCAGTTGAGGTGCCCACATTTTGACTGAGTGTGGAGTGGAGAGCAACATTATGCTGCCGGAGTGCTGAGGGGTAGTGAGTGAGAGGTGGAGTGGAATAGAGGTCTGCAGTGAGAGAGGAAGGGAGAGGCTGCCATAGCCACCGTGTTGCATGGTGCCAGTGGGACGTGCTGTTGTTCGTGGAAGGTCTTCGGCAAGCGGTGCAGGGGAGACTCTGCCCGTTTTGCACGGCGGCGGCATGTCTTTGGCAAGCGGTGCAGGAGAGACTCTGCCCGTTTTGCACGGCGGCAGCAGTGTATTTTGGGTGGTGGCGCTGCGCGTTTTTTGCGGCGGCGAGGCATTGGCATATGGGAAGTGTCGTCGAAGTGGCGGCATGTCTTTTTGAGTTAGTGTTGGCGTTATGTTGTCCGTATAACGCGGCGGCAACACGTTGACCCTTGTGATCGTGTTGCGGTAATGCTAGTGGTGATTGGTGGCGACATTAACAACAGTGGTGCGTGAGACTGCCCGGGTTATCTTGACTGTGAGGGACATTTTTGTGGCAGTGTGTTCTGGTATTGACAGCAACGACGTGGTGGTGCGGTTGGTGTGACGGCGACGCTGAGACACCGTCAGATTATTGAGAGGTGATTGTGTGTTGAGAGGGTATTGCGGCAGGCGATCATTGTAGAGAGTGGTGTGGAACACTTTGCTGACGGCTCGTTGTGATAGTTTTCTCATATAAAGACAAGAGTTTATACGGTTTTCTTGAGTGAGCCGTACATCAACTTCATTCGAGGTAGGTAGAAGGATACCTGAAAAAGAGGAACCTATCCATCTTAATGAAAGTGAACAGAAGGATGGTCCTTTTCTATTTCTCGCTTGCATGCATGTTGAAGGGAAGGACCACCAGTAGACGATGAAAAAGAATTTGATCACACAAAGAAGAAGAAATCAATTGGACATAAATTTTTTTTTTGAGGTTACCCGTTCTTTCTCGAATGACTCTCCCTGTCTATGCCCATCTGTCTGAATTATTTTCTCTTTTGTGATCTCCTTTTTCGTCTAAGTTACCCTTGATGTCAGGCGACGAGGGATCGTTTTGCCCGCCTCGATAGACGTTTTTCCCTTCCCTAGGAGGCATCTGAGGCGGGGGTTCGTTGCCTTAGGGGCCGACTTTGCTATCAACTCAGAGTGGACCGCTTATGCGGGGGGATACCATGTTGTTGTGTGGAGTCAGCCTGACTTCTGAGATCCGAGGTTCGCTCGGACGAGGACGAGGGGTATCCCAGACCATTTCCTAGGGAAAGGACATGCGTCGATTCACGAAAGGACCTTAAGTTTCTTGACGCCTCGTGTTAAGGGGAGCTGCCATAACATACCCCTCTAGTGGCCATTTTAGGAGTCACTGACGTATGGGGAACTAGCGCCAGAAGAAGCCCAGTTCGTGTAATTACTAGTCTTGGATGGAGTCCGAGTACGCACTACCTTCGCGGATAGGTTTGCACCATAAGAACTGCAAACCTGGGGAAGTTTAGATCGGTTGATAGGAAGTAGTCCTGCAGGGCCATGAGCCTCTCCAACATGGAGTACACAGACGCAAACCACGTCTCGCATGAAAGAACAAGACCGAGGTTGAGGCTGCGCTTCCTAAAAAAATGAAGGACCGCCTGGTGGGTTTTGAAAAACACCACCAGCACACGAGCGCTTGTGATAGTATCAACAAACGCGTCGCAACACGCCCCCATGTCTGACAACAATTTGTTGCAGACATGGACCGAGCATGGGAGCCAAGTGATCCTCCTCAATGCTGCAGGCATGGTCTCCGAGGTCAGAGCCCTGGCAGCCCCAACGTACGCTGACGCGGAGTCAATGCATATCGCATTGACCCGCTGCGGCCCGCCGAACCTGAACTCGTGGAAAATGGTCACCCATCTCCGAAGGACGTGCACAGCATCGTCCGACTCCCCCTCTTCGGGCCTCTCGATTGATCGTCGTGTACATGACGACCCCTCGAGACCCTGCGGCGAGGAAATTAACGATCGGTCTCCCGTCTTGTGATTTCCTCCCGTCTGAGAGGATGGTGGCGCCAGTCACCCAAAATGGCTGCCTCACCTCCTCCAACTCCTCGGCCAACTCCGCACGGTGCATCTCCACTGCCTGCATGCTCGCAATCTCGCTGTGGCTAGGGAGCACAGCCCGCGGCGAACTGCCAGGTTGCTGAAGAAGCACCTGCTGATATGCCCTCCATGCCTCATTGCGAAAGGCATTGAAGGAAACCCCGCTGGAACAAAGCCAGCGAAGGAAGGCCTTCTTGTGGCGAGCAACCCACTCGCCACCGTACACCTCATCCACCTTCTGCTGTCTAAGCCTCTTTCCAGCTTGAGTGGTAGCCGGAACAGCCCCTCCTTCCTTCCTCTTGGAAGAACCCTCCCCCGCCGGTTCCTGCACAGAAGGCTGTTGCCACTTGACCCCTCGCCGCTGCCAGTCCACGATCCTCTCCCCTGTCAAGGGATCGAACTCGGGATGATCCTCGTGTGTCGGGAATCCCTCCCGAGTCGTGCCACGTGCCTCGCGATCGTCGATGATCACGTCCCCCTCGATGCCACCGCCTCTACCCCCCAATGGCTGGTCGGGCTCAGCATGCCCAATCTCTCCGCCCCCCCCCAGCTCTCGCGGCCGCTGCACCGCCTCTCCTCCCGTCACTGCACCGGCCCGGGGCACATCAAGTCCACGCCCCGCTGCAAACCTGGAAATCCTCTCCGTCTGGTCGGCCTCGAACTTCAGTTGAGTCCGTTTTCCGATATCGTACAAGGCCTCATCAGTGACGACCTTGCAGTAATTGGTCTGCACGAAGTGCCTGGTTGCCTGGAATAAAGTCCCCTGGAATACTTTGTTGCAAAATGTGCAACGCATCATCATCACCCCCTTGTTGTCGACCTTCTGGCCGGCGACAAGGTATCGATACACAGGGACCTTACCCTGAACGTGTCCTGCACATCTTGAGAAGCGGGCTCATGCTCGCGCCGCTGTGCCCTCCCCATCGCGAGAGGTGGGGCAGCCGCTTCTCAAGAAATCCTCCGACACTAGAAACCCTCCTTGCTGCCACCGCAACTCCCCCCAAACGCCCGCCCGACCCCGCCGCCCGACGCGAAGAGGCCCCCGAACGGCCCCGTTAAATCGCGTTAAATTCCATTAAAATGCGATTGCGCGCGTTTAACGCTGTTGAACTAAAAATTCAACGCCATGTGTTCGCACCGTGCGCCGACGTGCAGAACCGCCATCGTTGTCCCCGCCGCTGCACTAGTCGCTCCCGCCACGCTGCACTCTTCATCTCCGCTGCACCAGCCGCTCCCGCTGCTTCTTTTTTTCTCTCTCTCTCTCTCTCTCTCTCTCTCTCTCTCTCTCTCTCTCTCTCTCTCTCTCTCTCTCTCTCTCTC